ATCTATAAAAAAGAAGTTACTTTTACCATTTATTTAAATTGCCAATACAAAAAAGAGATCGAGTGGTGCTAATTGATTGATCATTTATAATATAATTTAATTTTTTAACTATTTTCTTATATAATTGAAATAGTGATTTGAATTTATTGTATTTTTATAAACTTAATATTCGATACCCATTTTTTTATAAATTGTTTGTATAGTAAAATCAATAAATAATATAATTAGTTATATAATATACCGAATGGTAAAATTATAATATTAAAATGAATATTTATTTTTTTAGTCAAAATGAATAAATTTTTGAACTGATTCGAATTTATTATAGAATTGTGTTATTTTATTATAAATTACTATTGTTTTTATTAAAACCATATATAAAGAATAAATTAACCAATTAATAAAATTTAATTTTTTTGAAATTAATATTAATTTCAAGATTAAAAAGTTGGAACGACAACAAACAAGAGAATGAAAAATGACAAGAAAAATTTGCAAAACCTATGGAATCGCTGAAAGCCTCCCAGACTAAACCCACTCCGATGCGCACCTCGGACACAATTGGATCGACTATGGACCGCACTTTGGACTTTTTGTACTGTCTGACACCAGACTCTTCAAAACAGAAGGCAACAGAATGTTACCACCGAACATTGACTTCTCAAGCCATTTTTGACCCAGGGTCCTCCGAAGAAGCCTCGCAAAAGATCAACTGATATATTTTCTGTTTATATCGCAAGATCACTTTGAGCACAGATTTAAGTCTATGAAACAATATTTAACAACTCTATATTATAGTATATTAATAGTTTAATTACAATACAAACAAATTTATTTCAAACTAATAATATTAATACAATTAATTATAATACCATTCATCGAAGTTTATTTGGTTGACTGAATTGAGTCGACTGGATGATAAAATGAAAAAAAGTGAACTTGAAAACGAGGTGAATTGATGTCTGACGACCAGGCTTTAAAGCACATCATGGACAGAGATGAGAAGTACGTCCGCGAGCACATGCGGGGATATCTTAAAGAGAAGAACCCTGACCGTCTTGCACTGATTCAGTTATGTGCTGCGACACAAGGGTGTGTTCCTTTAGTCCACCCCTTTCTCAAGACAAACTCCCCGAAACTCAACTCGGAACTTCTTGCTGTTGCTATTTATAATCAACACATTCCACTCGTCGACTTGATTCTATCGCTGTATCAAAAAACAAACCAACTTCCTCTTGCTCTTCAATTCACTCAACTCTTTGGTCCTGAGCATTACCCCTTCTCTCTTTTCATTGAAAAGGTTGAACCAGAGAAAGTCGAGAAAGTGGAACTCTCAGACCATCAACTGCACGTCGACGAATTCGTTGAACCACTGAATGATGTTGCAGATAACGTTAATATCAATGAAAGCGCTATCCTTCAACCACCAGCAAAGAACGCGTCTTCAAATTCATTGAACCCAATTTTAGACGGGAACTCCGAGAGATCAAATACGTCTGAAAATTCAAAGACCTCGAAAAAGTCAATTTTCGACATTTTCAAGAGTCTGAAGCTCTCGACACCAATAAGAAATGAAATAAACAACGTGAACTCCATCTTCGAACCACTCAACCAAAACTCAGTCTTATTTTTGGGAGACACAATAGTCAATACATCAGACTCAAAGATCAAATTCTTCTTTTATAAGGCTCTTCCAACGCGGCGGAAAGTCGTTGAGGTGCGCGCGATGAGTGCGCGCGTGGCGCTTGAGATTGGTATTGGGTCGTTGCATATCACAGTTGTGAATAAGACGATATACACCCTGACGTCGACATATCCGATTCCTTCGGAAGACATCTGCTTGTTCTTCTCGTCGGAGTTTTTCGAAATTGGAAGCGTGAAAATCCCAAATCCGCCGGATGCGGAGAGCGCGCTGATTTGGTTTGAAATGAGTCCGTTCAGTGCGCTCTCCGTGTCGAATGTGACGAGTGTCCCGACGCATGACACCTACGAGAATTTTGTCGACTTCAATTACCCAAAAGTGTTGGAAAGACATCTTCCACCACCGCTCATGTCACACATCTCCGTTTTACTTCTCTCGTTATCAAAGGTCCCAAACGACGAACTGTTTGATACTGTCATCTCCAAATTGAGTGCCGACTGTGTCGAACAACAAATCAAAATGACAAATCAGTTCTGTCTGAGACAATGCGCCTTCCAACACCTCCCAAGAGAGTTCGAACGACTCAAAAGTTGTTGCAATGAAATTGATGAAAGTGTATTTAGAGCACTTGTCTCGTCTCCATTCACTCGGAGCCATCGCAAGATCTTACAGATGTTGCCGATCAAAGAATTTAGTAGAACTCCTATTGGTGCAATTGATGATATCGCTGGTATAAACGCGGCGTTGAAAATGGCACCAGCACCGTGTCACATCATTAATGACATTTCACTCATCGAAACTGCGTTGAAGAAAAAGAGTATTGCCGCGTTGGAAGTTCTTTGCAGGAGAAAGCCTGTTGGTGTGGATATCACAGATACTGTTTTTGATCACCGTGTTGAACACAATGAAAGTGATAGCAATGCGAATAAGTACTCGACGAAGATACTTGAGGCATTTCTCGAATCGACTCTACAGGCTTCGCAAATCATTTCTAAAGTTGTCAAATACCCATTTGATTATTTCACTGTAAATTTGACTGCAACGACAAACCCGGAGGCCGTCGCATATATGTTAGAGAACGGCGCGAAATGTGGCAGACTCAACTCGTTCAATGAGAGTTGTAACGAGATCATCTACAAACACCACCCAACTTGTGTCGACCAAATGGAAGATGGGGGTCGTCCGCTCCATAAGGCAGTTCAAGAGGGCAATTGGCGATTTGTGGAGTGGCTTTTAGAACATGGTGCTGATGCCACAAAGCGCGATCTTACCAATAAAAAGGCCATTGAATACATAGAACAGACTGAAGACAATAAGAGTTGCTTTCTCTTACTAGAAGAGAAGAGTCATGAGATGAGTATAGGAGAGAAGACTGAGGTGTATGTTGAAGGTGTTGATATTCTTGTTGTTCCCAATAGTCATTGTGTTGTGGTGAGTAAAGTGAATAGTAAGATGCACGTCAGTGTGACTGGGAAAGATCTCTTTGAGCTCAAAAGTGACTATGAGAGTGTCTTAGGAAGTGGGGACACCCTTTTGATAGTACGAAAAGATTCAATGAAAGTCGTAGATGTTGTTTCGAAGAGTGAAAAGGACCTTCCAAAGAATTATTTCATCAATCAACAAAACAGTGTCATTTGTGGGAATACATGTTACTGTGCCCTTCCTGGTCTTGACCACAAAGAGACGTACGAATTGTGGAAGAGTGAATTGAGTACTTCTTTCATGATGAAAAGAGTTGTCTATGACTTTGGGAGAATTGATTATATCACATCCGACGATGACATTGTAGTTGTTGTTTGTAATATCTTCCGATATGATAACAATGGACGGAAATATGTTTCGTTCTCGCCTCATGATAGTAATGATATCAATACAATTCACGTTGAAATAGTTCGAGAAGACAGTGTTATACCAATTCCAATAGAAGTGAGTCCAAGTGCGTTAGAATGGGAAAGCAGTGAAATTGAGAGTGTCTGTCTCTCCGACAATTTACTCTTCTTCTTCGTGAAAGACGCGAAGTCTTCTAAGCCGCATTTTGTGATCGATTTCGTGACTAAACAACTTGTTGGCCTTCCACAACAATTTGAGGTGGTACACAACGGGGCTTGTATCTTCAACAAGAGCGGAGTCTATTGCGAGAACAACTTTATTAACGTCTTTGACTTGACTCAAGTGCTCTTTAGTACGATGCAGAGACTTCTTGGGAAGTTCATGAGAAGTGATGTGCATGACTATGTGATGAATAACGGAATCGACTTCTTTAAGTTCAGCGGCGACGTCTTGAGGTGTCGGATACCACAAATCTTCGAGAAGGTAAACACCCAGTCGAAGAGTCTTTATGTGAGTTTGACAAAAGATGAGATGGAGGCTTTTTTGCTGTACATTTACACGGGAAATCCGTCATTTCCAGTCAGAGATTTTGTTGTCGTTGACCGAAGACAATTGTTATATAGAGCTAAAGTCAAGTTGGAAAGTCAATTCAGAGTAAAGATTGAAATTTTTGAGACATTTGAGAGAGTCGTCGAAGATTTTGAGAACATGAAAGATAGCAAAGTGATGTGCGAGGTGTCGACACGCAATGGGACCATAAATGTCCAAAAAGAATGGTTCAATTTCTTATTTAAAACTATTGATAAAAAGTGTATGGAAAAGAACTCAAGCCTCGAAGAGGTGGCGGAGCAATGGAACCATTTGAATAGTAAAGTATGGTTCAAATATATCTGTCTCTTCTAATTGTTTATTAGTTTCATTTTGTCCTTTTAGTTCATTTTCATTCATACCAAAAAGACTAGAGTAAGTTGTAAAACGTTGTCCCAGTCGCCAACGTTGTCCCGCTTAGAATATTCTCTTTTGTGTGAAATCATTCTACGATATATTCAATAACCGTCATTGTAAAAACAACAAAAATGTTTTTAATTTTGTTTTTATTTTAAATTATTTTTTTTCGAAACATTACAAAAACTTAGAAAATAATCATTAACTTATTTAGTTCTCTTTTCCTTCTTTTCAGAAGAGCAATCCAAAAACCCCTTTAAAATGACGCACATAAGAAATGGGTCAGTCAAGTGTGTGTGGTCACTTCAAACACTTTTAGTAGAATTAACATGCATGTCATAATAAGTTAGACGAACTGAATGTTAGTTAAACTGAATGTTTCAAACACACAAAATGAAAAAATAAACATTTGGATGTTAATGTGCATAAAACAAACCTCTAGCACCATAGTTGCAACGAATATTGAAGAAATGTATATACCTGAAGAGCGCAATTCCTATAACGTAAGTCAATGGTTAATTCGATATTAAACAGACCTTGTATTTTTTATCTGAAGAATCAGTAAAACCCTTGGAGTTTTTTTAGGTTAATTATAAGTATAGTTTCAAAGTTATAATAATATAGATTATATTATGTGTAATTATTTAACTATAAAACTATACTAACATATACAATAATTAACATATAAAATAAATTAACACATTTTAACTAACGAAAAACTACTTTGAATAATCATCATAAAATTATAAAAAAAGAGTTTTTAATTATCTTTTACTCGTTGATTTTTCAAACTAAAGAGCAAACAAAATATCACTCGTAAACAATTGTTTTGTTGAACTGGAGCAATTTAACTCTTTTCCTTTTAAACAAAATCATTCCACACTTGGTTTCTAATTGCGAGTTGGCACAATCTCTTGCGTTTTTTCTTAAAGTTTCGTATATTTCCTTTTTGACGTTGTCGATATTATCGCCTTCTTCATTTGACATCTCATTCATACATCTGTCAATTTCTTGCTGCTCGAAAAAGCAATTCAGCTTCGTGCATGAAGATGGCACCACTTCACATACTGTACTCAAGTTTTTAAGTAGTCTGTACTAACCCGCATGCAATAAAGGAAGACACCACATTCTTTGATGTGGTCACTCTTTCCCACGAGTTGACAATCGACATAATTTGTACAGATATATAGGAAAGGTGACCATATGTGTCATTCATCAACGATTTATCAGTTGTACATGCCCATTTCTGATTTCCAAATATCCCCACATCACACATTTGCAACAAATGAGATGAGTGTGGGGGTAGTATTATTTTGACATTATTCTCTGTCAACATTTCTACAGCGCCTACTCCAAGATGAGAACCGTAACCATCCATTACAAGAATTGACATACCGCTATAACCATGTTTTCTTCTTTTTTCGAGCAACTCGGGAATAAAAACACTTCGGATCCACTCTTCAAATAATTGATTTGTCATGAACGCTTTTTTGTGTACTTCAGGCACGCTTTATTGTTTGTCAAACCCAATTCTAAAAGCTCCTTCTCAACACTTTCTGTTGGTATAATGAAAAAATGTTTCAGTGCTGTGCCATCCATACAAATTGCTGCCATCAATATTGTTCGACTTCCTGCGCGTCTAATGGGTACATTGACAACACCAGATCTTGGTCTATTTAAAAGAATGACCGTTCTTGTCATTTTATCTACCCACCTTTGGAATCCTGATTCATCACAATTGAATATGAAACTTACTGGAATACCATTGGCGTAATTGGAGAGAAACTCAAAATACGCAACAATCTCTGTTGTTTGTACCTCCACTCTTTCCTCTTCCATTGGTTCCGCTTTTATGGTGGATAATTTGGCCATTTTGTTCACGGAAGTGTACAACATTTTGAGGTCAATATCCTCTCTCCCCAAAGTTGTTAGTACAAAAGAAAGCAACTCTGGATATCCAGCTGGATCTTTAGCGTCTTCCCGTAGTTCAATGAAGTTGATAATTTTTCTTTTCTCTTCCTCGGAAAAAACTCGACTTCTTCCTGAACTTCCAGGAGCTTTTACTACAAGACCAATCTGCCTTTTCCATACATCCTTGGAATATGCAGAAGTAAGACTTGATACAAAAGAAAATGATTCCAGTGCAGTTTTTTTCTTCATGTATTCATAGAGGCGGAACATTTGAACTCTGCGATTTGGAGCTGTTAAGTTTCGTTTCAACCTCATGAATCGAAGAAGGTGAGTAATGACTTCGCTGTGTATATCTTCCTTTTTGTGCTCCTCAAGGTAATCCCAGAGACCAGTACAATCAAAGTCTTCATCTTTGAGGGATTCTTTTATCTGTTTGTCTCGATTTGCTGTGATATCAATTTCTTCCATATCAACACTTGATTCACTCATTTCTTCTTCTGGTTGTTGGGTGTCAGTAAAATCATCTTGTTGAACGGTGTTGTTTAAAAATACTTCAACGTCGTTGTTATCTACAATAACATTTTGTCTTATTTCAGTTACAGTATTGTTCGTTGTATTATTTAATGGTGTTGTAATGGTTTGGTCTGGTATCAGAAGATTATCGTCAATCAAAAACTCCATTAAATGGTCATAATCAGTCTCTTTGTCATGACGACACTGCTTTAAATATAACAAACACGTTTTTATCAGCGTATTGACCGATTTCAACTGCCCAGTCAATGACATTATCATATTTGCAGAGTCAATGATCTTTAAAGCGGTTTCTATTCTCTCTTCGAATAAAATAAGAGAACTGTCTAAATTCGTGTATAGATAATTTGAAAGGTTGTTATAGTCATAATAACTCTGTTTAATGTTGCTCATCAAAGTATTTTCTAATTCTTTCAATCTCGAAAGTGATTGATCAAGCTTCACAACAGAGACTTCTTTGCATTGTTCTACGATGGACTTGATTTTTAAAAAATCAACACCATCAAAATTGATGTTTATTGCTCTTGAAAAAACATGCACTGGAAGTGAACTATGACTTTGAGTTGTCGTTGATGTCGAGTTCGACATAATATTGTTTGTTTTTTAATTTCTAGTTTTACAATTGTTCAAAAAAATCTCAGAAAAAAAAATAAAATGTTTAAAGTTTTTATTTAAATGGTGTTTTTGATTTTTGCTTTTTGGATAAAATTATTTTAATTTGTAATGATATATGTCTTAAAATCGGGATCATTCAAACATATTATTAATAATGGTAAACAAAATTTAATTTTGTTTAATCGACAAAAATGCATAGAATGTTCTATTTTTTATTCAAATAAGACTAAAAGAACGACGTTGGCGACTGGGACAACGTTTTACAACTTACTCTAATGTGATTTGTTCCAAGTGAACTCTTCGTATTTTTTTGGAGATTGTTAAAAAAAATCTGTTTTATTGAAATCTAAACAAATTATAAATGTGGAGAATAAGTGTTTTTTTTTATTAAATCAAATAAAAATAAAAAACACACAAAAAAAACTCACAATTGATTTTTTCAATTTTTTTTTAAAACCCTTTTTCAATTTTTCGAAAAATTATATTTTTTTATATATAACACTAAACAGTATTTTGTAAATCTCTTTGTTATTTTAAATAACTTTTTGGCATTTTCTGATAATATTTACCATTTTGTGATTATAATAATGAAAACAAAACTTTTAGATTGTGATGGGAGTATAATAAAAAACTTTGAAATCTCAAAAAATCAGAATGAAATCTCAAGTGATCAAAGGCAGAAAGGGACCGCCTAAATACGGTAGAAATTCGGTTCAATTTGTAGCGTGTATCAATGATATCGTCCAGACATTAATTGATATGTACGAGAAAGGAGAGGAGATCGATGTCAACCGGCTTAAAACCAAAATGGCACAAAAGCATGATCTCCATACATCCCCTAAACAAGTCGACATCATAGCGGCTATCCCCGACTCACACCGTCCTTTCTTATTACCCATTATCAAATCCAAACCCGTTCGTACTGCTTCTGGAATAGTCGCAATTGCCGTGATGTGTAAACCACATCGATGCCCTAACATCCGTACAGGCGGCGACTCTTGTGTGTATTGTCCTGGTGGTTGTGACTCGGACTTTGAATACTCGACACAGTCGTACACGGGATATGAACCAACTTCCATGAGAGCAGTTCGCGCGAGGTATAACCCATATATCCAATCTCGGACTCGTGTCGAGCAGCTCCAGAAATTGGGACACAATGTCGAGAAAGTCGAATATATTATTATGGGTGGGACATTTCTTTCAATGGATAAACCTTATCGAGACTCATTCATCCTTGGCCTCTTCGACGCACTGTCGGGCCACGTGTCGTCAACAGTCGAAGAAGCAGTGAACTATGGCGAGAATTCCAAAATTAAGTGTGTTGCTATGACTATAGAAACTCGGCCAGATTGTTGTTCAGAGGACCACATCAGAGAGATGTTCCGTTATGGAACAACACGTTTAGAGATTGGTTTGCAATCGATATTCGAAGATGTGTGTAAGAACTGTAACCGAGGTCACTCTGTCAAGGATTGCACTGACACCTACGTGAGACTCAAAGACGCTGGGTACAAAATAGTTACACATATGATGCCAAATCTACCAGAAGTACCACCAGAGAGAGACGTGTTCACGTATTCCGAAATGTTCTCGGACGGGCAATTTCAAGTCGATGGGCTGAAGTTGTACCCAACCCTCGTTATTCGAGGAACAAGACTCTATGAAATGTGGAGAAAAGGACTCTACCATTCATACACGTCTGAGGAAACTATTGATGTTTTGTCAAGAATTCTGGCTTTGGTGCCGCCTTGGGTTTGTATTTTACTATTAGTTAATAGTTTTAAATTATAAATTATATTATAATAAAACAATTGCTTAATAACAACACCACTAAGCTTATTATAATTTGTTAATTAATGTTCTCATCTTGAATAAGACTGAGAAAGGCGTGGTTGAACAGTCTGACGTTGAGGTGAGAATCCACAGAATTCAGAGGGATATTCCAATCCCTTTGGTCTCTGCAGGTGCGGACAAAGGCAACCTGAGGGAGTATGTCCAGAAAAAGATGGACGAGAACAATTGGCCTTGTCGCGATACACGAACGCGAGAAGTTGGGATTGCAGCACTTCAGGGAAAACCTGGGAAGAAAGTGAAAGGCGCACGCGAGATCGAGTTGATCCGAAGAGATTTTGTGGGGTCTGAAGGGTGGGAGACATTTTTGTCATATGAAGACCCTGAAGAGGATTTACTTATTGGTCTTTTGAGACTCAGAAAACCGACTGAACACAAGTTTATGAAGGAACTGGAAGGCGAGACATCAATTATAAGAGAACTTCATGTCTACGGAACCGCAATTCCTGTCAACACGAAGAACCTGAACCAATACCAACACATGGGGTACGGCGCATTACTTTTACAAGAAGCAGAACGAATCGCCAGAGAGGAACACGGCAGCAATAAGATCGTCATCATATCAGGAGTTGGAGTCAGGCATTACTACAGGAAGTTTGGGTATATTCTTGATGGTCCTTACATGGCAAAGTTATTGGTCGAGGGGCAAAAACTTGACAAAGACACAAGGCATTTTAACGATTACAAAAATTGAGAATTCTGTGTTATTTTATAGTTAAATTAATATTTTATAAATTACAATTCGATTTATAAAAGAAACAAAGAGTTCAGTTGTTACGTTTTATAAATTATTGTATAAGTTTGTTTATAGTTTAATATCAACCAAAGTATCTCATTTATAAAATGAGATATTATTAACAGAATGAAAGAAAAGAAGAGCGAAAAAAAAGTAAAAGACAATGCTAGAATGAATTACTTGGGGTGGATTACATTCCTCTTCCGCCTCTTCCTCCCCTTGGGGCGCCTCTGGGTGCTGGTGCACCTCTAGGGGCGCCTCTTGGAGCTCCACGTGGTGCGCCTCTTGGCGGCATTTGGAATTGTTGTGGCTGTTCCTCTTCCTGTTGTTCTTCTTGTGGTTCTTCGTATTGCTGTGGTGGTGGCATTCCGCCTCTTCCGCCTCTAGGGGCTCCTCTTGGAGCTCCGCGTGGTGCTGGTGCACCTCTGTGCATTGGTGGTTGAGCAGCTGGTCTCGGAGCAGATTGGGACATCCCTCCTCTTGATGGTGGTGCATGTGCTCCTCCGGCTCTATTTGCTCGTGCAGCTATAGCAGCGGCAAGTGGGTTTCCGCCCATACCGCCCATTCCTCCTCCCATTCCACCGCCCATACCTCCTGACGGTTTGTTGCTGATTGCTGGCGCTGATTTATCAACGGTTACTGCTTTTTTGAGTTTTCTTCCTGCTTGAATTTGTGAAAGTAAATCGCCTCTTCCAGCAGACGATGGTGGTGCTGATGGTGCATCTCCACCAGATGGTGGTGGTGGCATATTAGGTGGTGGTGGCGGCATCATACCCATTGGTGGTGGTGGGGGTTGTGCTGATGAAGACATACCTCCTCTTGGTGCACCTCGGGATGCCGACCTTGGTGCGGAACGTGGAGCGGCTCGTGGTGCTGGTGCTCCACGTGGTGCAGCTCTTGGTGCGCCTCTAGATGGCATTTGGAATTGTTGTGGCTGTTCCTCTTCCTGTTGTTCTTCTTGTGGTTCTTCACGTTGTTGTGGTGGTGGCATTCCTCCACGTCCTCCTCTTGGAGCGCCTCTGGGTGCTGGTGCACCTCTGTGCATTGGTGGTTGAGCAGCGGGTGGTGGAGCTGATCTTTGCATACCTCCTCTTGATGGTGGTGCATGTGCTCCTCCGGCTCTGTTTGCTCGTGCGGCGATGGCAGCGGCAAGTGGGTTTCCGCCCATACCGCCCATTCCTCCTCCCATTCCACCGCCCATACCTCCTGACGGTTTGTTGCTGATTGCTGGCGCTGATTTATCAACGGTTACTGCTTTTTTGAGTTTTCTTCCTGCTTGAATTTGTGAAAGTAAATCGCCTCTTCCAGCAGACGATGGTGGTGCTGATGGTGCATCTCCACCAGATGGTGGTGGTGGCATATTAGGTGGTGGTGGCGGCATCATACCCATTGGTGGTGGTGGGGGTTGTGCTGATGAAGACATACCTCCTCTTGGTGCACCTCGGGGTGCCGACCTTGGTGCTGGTGCACCTCTAGAAGTTCCTCTTGGTGCTGGTGCTCCACGTGGTGCACCTCTAGATGGCATTTGGAATTGCTGTGGTTGTTCTTCTTCTTCTTGTGGTTCTTCATATTGTGGTTGTGGTGGTGGCATTCCGCCTCTTCCTCCCCTTGGGGCGCCTCTGGGTGCTGGTGCACCTCTAGGGGCGCCTCTTGGAGCTCCACGTGGTGCGCCTCTTGGCGGCATTTGGAATTGTTGTGGCTGTTCCTCTTCCTGTTGTTCTTCTTGTGGTTCTTCGTATTGCTGTGGTGGTGGCATTCCGCCTCTTCCACCCCTCCCGCCGCGAGGAGCTCCTCCTCTTGGTGGCATAGCGCGTGATGGTGGTGGAGCTGATCTTTGCATCCCTCCTCTTGATGGTGGTGCATGTGCTCCTCCGCCTCTATTTGCTCTTGAAGCTATAGCAGCGGCCATTGGGTTTCCACCCATACCGCCCATTCCTCCTCCCATTCCTCCAGATCCTTTTTTACCTTCGATCATTGGGGCAGACTTGTCAACTGTTTCACATTTCTGGAGTTTCTTTCCTTTTTGAATTTGCGAGAGTAAGTCGCCTCTTCCAGCAGACGATGGAGCAGGCATCTTAGAGTTAGAAGGTGGTGGTGGTCCCGGTGGTGGTGGCATCATTCCTAGTTATAAGTGACATAGAAAAAGAAGGGTGTCGGCATTATACATAATTAACAACAAGTTCAGACGAGTCCAAAAAATTTGATTCAAGAAAGTAAAGAGATACAAACCTGGTGGTGGCGCGAGTCCTGGTGGTGGTGCCAAGTCTCCTGGAGGTGGTGGTGCCGAACCTCCAGAGGCGTGTGATGAGGATTTCTTCTTAAAGAATCCGAAAGGAGCCATTTAATTTGAAAATTGTAGATAAAAGTTCGTCTTAAAATACAGAGTCGACAAAACTTAAAAACCGAATTTCCAAGTTCATCCCAAAATCACGTTGAAAGTTTCTTGTGTTTCAGTTTTATAACTTACAAAGACCCGGTTTTTTGGTTTAATTCATTATTCTTTCCCCAAAACTTTTCATCGTTTGTATTTTTTTAATAAGAAAAATCAGTCTTATTGTAAGGGAAAAAATGGGTATTTAATCGGTTTTGTCATTCCATCGTTTTTGAAGTTCTACGAATCCAATTTCTATTTTTTAAAGTATTTTTTGCTCGGCATTTTCAATGTTTCTTTTGAAACAAAAATATCGATGCTGTTTAATCAATTTGTTCTATAAATAATTTAAGTGATGCGTTTACACAACCAAACAATATAAAGTAATTATAAGCAACGACTAAAGTAATTATATTTCACAAGTAGAATTGTTTTATTCAATTTTAATACTCATTGATTAAATAAATGATGACATGTCATTTTCGAGATGAATTGAAGTGTTTGTCCATTATCATTTACAAATAATTTTGAATTAATTTCAGGAATTTAACATGAACTTACAAAAAAAAAGAATTGTACAAAGATGTCGTGGTGTTTCCATAATTAAATAATTGCTTCCTTGTATTTAGTTTTGTATCTACTGTTTTACTAATATATCAAACGTTAATAGTACTCATCATATATAATTTTGTATAAATAAATACAGGTGCTTCTATTCATATAAATAAATAACAATTGCACTTTATTGTTTATGTAATCAATGAGTGTATGTGTAAACAATTATTTTTATATTAACATATAACGATAATTAAATTTCGTTGCACAATTACTATTAGTAATTTACTAATAGGTGTAATTTAAAAAGATTATTATAAAAAAATTCATAAAATAACATTCTTTTAATTTCAATTACATAATTATTAGATTTAGTTTGATGTTACACGTTTAACCTTGATTATACAATAATATCAATTCATTAATAAAATCTTGTAATTTACAAAACATTAAAACCATCAATCCAAAGATGATTTAATTTAATTAGAAAGATATAAAGACAATAAATACTCAATTAAAGAATTTAATCAATAAATCAATGAGTTATTGAATTTTAGTTCATTAGCATTGTTTAAACATTGGAAAATTTGTCGTGTAGATAATTAAACATTTTTCCAGAAGTCAGAATATGTATTAATAAACGAATTGTATATTATTTACTCTATTTTAATTAATAAACTATTATTTAATTTAAATTTAACTATATTTTAATTATTACCAATTCTATATATATTTGTGACCAATTTTTTATAATTTATTTACTATAAATAAAACTATAAATCAAAAATCAAGAATACGTTTTTATAAAAACGTGTTAGACAATAAAATAGAGTCTGAAATGTAATTATTACAACACAAAGTGTTATAATATGTTTGAATGATTATTTGAATGAGAGAATACCATTTTCACAACAAAAAATCAGCAAAAATATTATAAAAAAAATAAATTAACTTGTTTGGTACTGGACATAATTCTGATTCAGTGAATTCATTTCATCCAAATCGATTTCATCATTCAAAAACATTTCGGCAAACACTTTTTGAGCGTCGTCCAGCTGTTCGAAGTTATTAATAACTTTCCTTCGTCTCTCATTACACACTGGCACTTGTTTTATAATATCATCTTGACTAATTACACCAGTCTTGTACAATTCGAGTATATCAGAAAATTCCTTTGGAGGTTGTGGAAGGTCTTTAACAACCAAATGTGCAGACATCTGTTTGAATTCCTCGTCATTAATGACTTTTTGTGTCAGTAAATTTTTCATCCCGTCCAATTCCTTCTCCGCATTAATATTGTCCAAGTACTCTCTAACATTAGCAAATCCCTGTTTAGCAGTCTCTCCTACAAGAATTTTGAATTCTTTTGGAATGTGTTTTTGGACAACAGGAACTTGTGATTCGACTTTTTCAATTTTTTCTATTTTTTTATTTTGTAAAGTGTGTGTTAAATCGGGCACCTCTGGTATTCTGGTGTTCATCTCCGTCTTTTGGATGACTTGGATTGGTTGAATTGGTTGGATGAATTTTTGTTGGGTAGGGGCCTTTAGAGGTGTTGGGGCGAACGGGAGGAAGTTGAGTGGAAGTTGAGGAATTTGCGTCAAAATCGCGTTAAAAATAGAAGTGAGAGTGTTGTCTTGGACCAAATTGATATAATTAATAAGTATCGAATTTTGATCGATAGAGAATAAAGGGAGTGGAGGGACTGCTGAGAGAGAAGTTTTAACCAAAGGAAGGTTCGTTGGATAGTTTTGAGGAATGTCGAAGATAAGAGGCAAAAAATAGGTTAAAGGACTTTTTTCGAAAGTGAGAGTACCATATAGCATTAATGTCTTAGACATTTGATCAAAACACAATTGAAAATGATATGTGTTTAATACAGTGACTATTTGGGGGAGAAGATAATCAGAATGGGAATACTCCGCTCCAACATTGATTATATAACTTTTTAAACCAGTTAATGAAAACGACATTCTTTTGAAGTTTTAAAGATCTAAATTTGTGAAGTTTAATAAGTTACTTATTAATATATCATTCGGATTGTTGAAAATCGACAAAATAAATCATTGATTATTTTTATATTTTATAGTTTAATATACTATTTTATTCTAATTTGATTTTACAATCGTTTTATGATATTATTTATAATTTA